CAATACCAATACCAATACCACCCAATACCAATACCAATACCAATACCAATACCAATACCACCCAATACCAATACCAATACCAATACCCAATACCAATACCAATACCAATACCAATACCAATACCAATACCAATACCAATACCAATACCAATACCAATACCAATACCAATACCCACCAATACCAATACCAATACCAATACCACCCAATACCCAATACCACCCAATACCAATACTACCCAATACCAATACCAATACTCCAATACCATATTGGTATTGTGACATCACTAATAGTGATGCCAGGAAACGTTCTGAATATTTAGGATTCACCTGTAAAAAACACTTTCTCTGTAAGTTGTAGACTTTTTCATGCTGTGTCGTTCTGTACACATATCATTTACTATATTATACACTACGAGAAGAAAAATCTTCTCTTATTTCAGAGTTGCATATTTTCAGTACGGTAACATGAGCTATAGTTAATTAGAAAATATACAACAACGTTACTAATGTATATAGAAGAAAATTTAGAAAAAAGATGACAGATGAAAATGGTGGTGAGAAAAAGGTAAATTAATTATTTATGACCATTTTCTAAGTTAAGACGTGTATCATGAGTTTGAAAAAAAAACTTTTTTTCTGATTAACAGTATGCCGGAGAAGAAAAAGACGGCTTTCTAAGTATTAATTTATTTCTTAGAAAAAAATTTCCTTGCATGCAATGCTTTTTTTTTTAAATTATTGTTTTTACTAATTTGCGAACAGAAAAAAATGAACGATTTTTGAAATATGAAACGTATAGCATCAATATTTCTGATTTATTTTATTTTTCGAACAGAAAATGAATGAATTCTAACCGGTGACTATTCTCCTATTCAGTTAGATGCAATACAGTAATTCATATTATTTTGCTTCTCTATAAATTGATTAGATCATTACTTTATACAGATTTTGTTTGTTCGTTTTTTTTTGAATATGATGAACAATGTATGTGGACATAATTTTGTTAATCGAATGAATATGTTAAAATTGTTGACAATACACTTAATTTATTTTATTTTAACAATAAGAAAGTCACAAATGTTGATATTTAAAATACTTTTTATCATGTTTTACTAAGAGCACTATTTGTAATTATTTCCGTATCTATTATTTAAAAAAGGTAGTGTCTTTTTTTTTCTTTTCTTTTCTTTTCTTTCCACTCATATGTCCAATAACCAGTTATTTCAATGGAAGGTGAATGATATATACGGTAGTAGACAAGTTTTTTTTATTTCTTTTCTTTCCATAAAAAAAAGTGTATTGAAAAAGTTAAACTAGTGAGTAGTATTATATTTCTTTTTAAAGATAGAGCAATCGTTTTACGGATTGAAGAAAGTCTTTTTTTGTCAAATAATGCAAATTTTTGTGAAAATCTTAGCTTGTATGAAAAAAATGGAGGTCTCTTAAATTTTAAATATCAATATTTATAGACTGAATATCAAATGAATTTTCTAAGAGAATATGTATGACGTTAAGCTAGGCTAAGATAACATATTCATTAGACTCAATTTTATTAGATAAAATGCTTTCAGTCGATTTAGACAGATATGTTGATATATTTGTTATTAGTATTAGTAATTATATAGTTTTTTTGGAATTAATCTTTTTTAATACATTTTACTTTTTATTTTAGAAAAGAAATAGTTTTATCTTCAAAAATACGGTCTTTCAATACTTCTATTCTCCGTCTGTAATAAGAATTTGAACAGGTAAGAAATGATTGGTATTAAAACTAATATTGTGATGCACATATAAATATTCTTTACATTGTTTTATTTAAAATTATAACAAATGTGGGTTTTAAGCAGAGTTGTCAAATCCAAATTTTAGAAATCAGAAGATTTTCATTAAAAAATAAGGAGAAAAATCAGGAGAGTTTTTTCTTTAAACCAAAAGAAAAATACAGCAGTGCCACGCACTTTTTCCATAAAAGCAAAGCTTTTTATTCTCAAATGTTTACAGTTTTGATTCTTAATAAGTGATTTAATAAAACGATTTATCTTACTGAGAAAAACAAAGAAACACAGAAAGATAATTACACATCGTTTATTTTACTAATTATTTTGAAGCTGTACATTGAAAAATATAAATAAAACTGATATAAGTGTGTCTTAAGAAATTGCCGAAGAATCGAAACAGAACAGAGTAAAGCACCCCCTACATCTTTTTTTTTGATATTATTACTATATGTTTGTATTTTTCTTCAAAGTGAATTTGTTTGTTTAACAATTCTACACTATTTCACAGATTTACTCATTTTAATTTTAAGCTTGACATTCATTTAGATTATTTTTTCATTCTATTCCTGTTATCATATCGTCAAAATTTTGTGTAGTTGAAACTTTGACTGATGATTAGTTCATTAAACTCATTATTTATTAGTCCATAGTAGTACTTGAGTCGGATCGAATCTAACCAGATCGACCGGCCCATAGAAATGGAAATTTTACGAATTGGGATTTTTCGATAGTCTCTTCTTTGTCGATCATGTTTTTGGCGATAAAAAAACCTAATATAGCGTACACATTACTGATAGAGTTGGTAAAATAAGGTACAAAACACAGGTTATCTAATTATTTATTGTAATGCTCAGTTGAAAATATGATTTTGTTGCATATGCCATATATGTTCTCCGAAAGTATATCCTCGCACAAAACTCTTATCTCTATTTGTTTC